TTCTTCAAGTACAGCATAAAGTATATTTTAGGTGTATTTTAAATATGTATATTTAAGCTAAATTAAATATACTTAAAGTTGTTCCATTTTAACACAAGTACACTAAAATATATTGCAAGTATCCTAAAGTTGAGTTTTAGTTTTGTTAAAATATTAATTAATATACTGTAAGTTGTTCCAAAATAACATATTTAATATACACTTAGTACAATACAATTAAAATATAATAAATACATCAAGATAAAGTACAACTTAAGTACTTTTTTTTCACCTGGGTTGCCAAACATATCTGAATCCCCATCTCTTGACTAAATTATCTTTTARAAATAAATAAAAATTGCATACAGTACTGTAAGTGAACGAAATGTGTGAATAGCAATCACAAGAATTAACAAAAACATATGAGTATCAAAGAACATTTATTTTGTTTAACTTTATTTTATGTAGCGTTTGGGTGTAAACGGCCTTCCATACAGCTTGGGCGTTTCAGTGACGTCACAGACAGGGCGGAGCCAGCATTCCTGGCGTCTACTTTTGTCTCTACGTGGAGGAGGCAGGGCAGAAAACTGGACGCTGTCTGGAAATTCGGGCGCACCGACAGTGAGTACCAATTTCCTGGCAACTTTCTTGACCATCAACTTCTTCCAGCTAAACTTCGTCTGTGTGGCGCTCTTAGGAGCAGTGTTTATTGATTTATTTATTTATTTTGTTCTTCATGGTGCGGCAGCCGACATCCTCTCTTCAAAGGATGGAGGTCCACGAGCAAACAGGGATAGTTTCCTGCCTATAAAAACTTGCATGTCTATTGCTAACCGACTAGCATTAGCCACACCTACTTTAGCTTATTCATCCTCATCAAGCTACCTTAGACATGACACACTAAAACTGTTTCAACTCTTTAAATTGTGACGAAAACAACAATTAGAAGAAATAAATATTATAGCTGGTGAAGAAAATAGCGTTTGAGCACGAGCATAAAATAATGCGCGTGCGTTGAAAATAATACAATAAGATGTCTTCATGACCCCCCCCCCCCAAAAAAAAAAAAAAAA